TATATTATATTATATTAGATTGTATTATATTATGTTATATTATATTATAATGTATTAAATCGTGTTATATTATATCATGTCATATTATATTATACTATCTTATATTATATCATGTCATGTCATGTTCTAATTTATTTTATTTTTATTTTATTTTACTTTTATTTTCTTTTAATTTAATTTAATTTTTATATTGTTTTATTTTACTTTGTTCTAATTTGTTTTATTTTATTTTATTTTATTTTATTTTATTTTATTTTATTTTATTATATTATATATATACATATATGTATACGCAAAGGCGCACGCTATTTTTGGTTGACGTATCAAATTTTTTTCGCTCTCTGCTAACGTATGGGATTTAATACTGGATCGCGAATTTAGAAAAGTTTATTCCAGAAAGCGCGCTGGCTGCAAAGTTAGGCCATTCTGAGGTACGAGGAGAAACGCGGTTTATATTGGTTGTTCTAAAAGCTTGTACTTCTGTTTTTTTGGAATGAATTTTAAAGATTTTCAGATCGTTTGAAATTATATATCATACGAATTCAGAAAGCTGGTGGGAAGCTTGTACTGAGAAGGTTTTTGAAAGATTTGAAGGCAGTTATTCAGAGGGTTGTTGGTAAAAATAAATTTTCTTTTTAATACTTTAGGTGGAGCATATTTTCTACAGTCGTGGTTTTTGTATGGAACATTAAAGTCGCAAGGTGATATCTTCTTGATATCACAGGTTATGGTGCGGTTAATGAGAATAGGCTGCAAGAAACCCTCAGTTCAAGTGACATTTTTTGGCATTCGCGGGAGGAAGAACTCTTATTTCAGTCAGAGGCTCGTTAAATGTGGGAATATATATTTAAAACGCCTTCAGGTCCCCTCGTTCAGAAACGGATATATGGCTAAATTTTTTTCCTTCTGAGTAATTTCCAAAATTTTTTTTGTGGAAGATTGTCATGGCTATTAGTTTTTCATTTTGTGTCGTTTCGACTTCATGTCGAAGTTTTATCATTCGGAAGCTGGAAAATCAATAGTGCCTTTTGATAGTGACTGTTGTTTTGTTGTGCTTTCCAGCGCTTTGTAAAATAATGTAATGGAATTTTGTGTACTTGAGTTTGCTGAACCTACGCAAAAACTCAGTAGCGGAAGAGGCTTTTTTCCCCATAATCTTTTGAAATGCAAAAGTCACTTCTGTCAGACAATCCAGTAGCTAGTTGTAAAGAAAATTGGCAGTAGAAATTTGGTTTGAAAGTATCTCCTGATGACTGGCTCTCACGCTGTTTACGGTGCATACAACTTCGTCGAAAAAGTAGGCGATGTTTTTCAAATTGCACTTTTTTTAGAAAGCTCAGGAAGTAAGGTTGGAACTGTGTCATGAGCACGGGCATTTGATACTCTAGTAAAGCATTAGCAGTAATGAGAAAGCTGAAGAATTTTCTCTTGTATAAAACGTAATGCAGCAGAATGGCTTACGTTTTTTTTGATGTTGTCCCCGATATTCTCCTGGAACACCTTTTATAGGTTTTAAATAAAGTTGCAAACTATTACATTGCTGTAAATAGTATATCAAGACAACATCCGGTAGCTACTAGTGAGTCTCTAATAAAGAGTTCATTGAGGTTTGTGTCTTTTAGCATACCTATCTTTATTAGTCACTAGGTAGACACGATATAAATATGATGCAACACTCAACAGATAAAAAATAATGGAATAGGATCAATAAGAAATCAGTGCAAGAGAAAAAACAAAGAAGGTTTTGTAGTAAAAGTACTGAAAACTTGAGGCAACGATAAGCAAGATAGGCAATAGGCCAACTCCCCTCAGTGAGACAGAGGAACCTCCTTATATAGTTGAGTCATGGTGGTATTCTCGAATGTTCTCAGGGTTTGATCTTAACAAAGTGTAATTAACTTAACACCGAAAGCAATGTAAAATACTTGGTTTATTGACACAGCATGGCAAAGCAAAGCAATAAAAGCTTTAGGAGAACAAATAACGATAGTTTTTATTG